TTATTATGGCCTGGAGAGAATGAGGCACCTGGGTATAACCAGAGGGTCTAACAGGCTCACTACACACAGAGGAAAGGCAAGACGGACATATAACAATATTTTGACCGGTACCATCAGCATTGGAACTCTGTGCTGACTGCTGAAGAGAGGACAGAGCATTCATGGGAATGCCCTGAGTGCTTTGATGTCAGTTCCTGACTCAACTCAACTCAACTCAGTGCTATAATAAAGGCAGTAATTGGCCAGCGTAGAGTTCTAACTAACTAACTAACTAACTAACTAACTAACTAACTAACTAACTAACTAACTAACTAACTAACTAACTAACTAACTAACTAACTAAACTAACTAACTATACTAACTAACTATACTAAACTAACCATACTATACTAACTAACTATACTATAATAACTAACTAACTAGCTAACTAGCTAACTAACTATACTAACTAACTATACTAACTATACTAACAAACTAACTATACTAACTAACTATACTAACTAACTAAACTAACTAACTAACTAACTAACTAACTAACTAACTAACTAACTAACTAACTAACTAACTAACAAAAAACAAAACTAACTAACTAACAAACAAACTAACTAACTATACTAACTATACTAACAAACTAAACTAACTATACTAACTAACTATACTAACTAACTAAACTAACTAACTAAACTAACTAACTAACTAAACTAACTAACTAATTAACTAACTAACTAACTAAACTAACTAACTAAACTAACTAACTAACTAACTAACTAACTAACTAACTAACTAACTAACTAACTAACTAACTAACTAACTAACTAACTAACTAACTAACTAACTAACTAACTAACTAACTAACTAACTAACTAAAACTAACTAAACTAACTAACTAAACTAACTAACTAACTAACTAACTAACTAACTAAACTAAACTAACTAACTAACTAACTAACTAACTAACTAATAACTAACTAACTAACTAACCAAACTAACTAACTAGCTAAATAACTAACTAGCTAACTAACTAACTAACTAACTAAACTAACTAACTAACTAACTAGCTAAATAACTAACTAGCTAACTAACTAACTAACTAACTAACTAACTAAACTAACTAACTAAACTAACTAACTAACTATCTGACTGACCAACTGACTGACTAACAAACAAAGGGTTCGGAATACTGAAGAAGATATCTTAGCCTATAAATTGTTTTTCCCTTTATTTCGTGTTCTTCGTCCTCTTCTTCTTCAGCATTCCGAGCCCTTGAGGTTCATTGCTGCAGATATCACCCGCCTCCATTCATCTCTCTGGCTGTCCTTCTCTTCCAAGTTAGTGACACCAGGTGTTTACAGGTCTCTCTAGGCATTATCTCTTCATTGTTTGCCTTGTGGTCTACGACCATAAATCTCCCTCGTGTATACGGTTCTGACCTCTCTCTGTCATGTGACATTCTCTCAATATGCCCCAGCCATTACAGTCTATTAGCTCTCATGATGCCAGTGATTTAAACAGATTATGAATTTTTTTTTTGTTTCGTCTAATTTTTGTTGAATGCAATACTAGGTCCCCGGATAACCCCCCCTGACACCCCCGCCCCCTATCTTTTTTTATATGCCTTGGGGAAATCTAGTTTTTTTTAATATATATATTGTTATTTAAAAGTAGTAAATGTTTCATTTCGAAACTATAAATTGTGTACATTTTAACAATCTTGTTTTTTTTTTTTTTTTAGGTTCTTTGTCTATGTATTGCTTGGGTTTTTGTTTAGCTTAGCTGGGTTTTTCTAAACAATCCTATTGCCAGCCCTGACCGGGGCTGCCAGTGATGGGTTTAACCCCTTATCTAGGTTTTTTTAACACCCTGGGTTCAAATTTGAAAATATCGGTTTAAAAAAAAAGTCCTTTTATAAAGTCGGGGGGGGGGGGGGGGGGGGGGGGGGGTAAATGTTTCGTTTCGTAACTATTAAATTTGTACTTTTTAACAATCTGTTTTTTTTTTTCTTTGCCTTTGTATTGCTTGGGTTTTTGTTCAGCTTAGCTTTTCGTTCGTTCGTTGGAAGAAAACAAAAAAGATAAGCTTTGTCCTTTTTTAACCGCCTGATGGCCTGTTTTATCAAGGACTGGTTATTTGCTATCTGAGCTTATGTTTGTTCCTTTTGTGGCTATGATTTTCGCCTGAGTTTTATTTCATTTATTGCAACATGTCAGCGGCGTGGGCTTGGTGGTAGCTTGCAGTTTTTGGGATTGGACATGGCAGTCCTGAGAAGGACAGCCATATGTGCCTGGGTGGCCTGGAACAGGTAGGGTGGGAGTGGTCAATCTGGTTGGCTGTGCTTCCTCGCGTCAGTGAGGCTGGCTTGTTCCACGGGAACTGGGTGTCATAGCGGCTGGTGGTTTGAATTGGCTGCTGGCTCTGTCAAAATGTGCGGTAACGCCTGTTTGGCGTACCCTGGCTCCTTTGCTTCCCATCTTGCTTCCCTCAACTTAATAATTGGCTTTTTCTATCACCTCGCAGAAGCCGCAGATTTTTTTGTAGAAGGCTTCCCTTTCCTCATCAGGGAGCAATTGTACTTTATCCTGCTCCTCACCGGCTGCCGTCTCTTTGCTTTCTGTACAGGTTGTGGTTTCTTCTGCGGCTGGGGTCGCCTCAGTAACTTCGGATACGGTTACTCCATCTGGCTGGATAGTGTTTTCCTCATCAGTATTTGTCTCTGTACTTTTGTCGGCCCTGCTGACATTTTGTTTCTTGGCGGCTCTCTCTAGTTCGCTCTGTAGGCGGGCGTGCTCTGTTCTGGCTGTCATCTCCGCCGCTTCTGCTCCTGAATCAGTCGGGTGACTTCTCTGTATGTTTCCTCTCACGCCTCTTTCAGCACAGCCATCTTTCTGCTTCTCTCCTCCCTCTCTTCTTGTCTGCGCTTCTCATCTGCTGCCTGTGCCACTGCCAAGCTTGCAATCAGTGTCTTTATATTGTTTATAGTTTCTGCATCGTGCTTCTTGCTTTCGAGCTGTTGCGCTGTGTGGGCTTTTCTGTCCTCTTTCGAGGCTTTAATCTCCCCCAGCATCAGGGAGATTAACTCGTGCGTTTCGGCTTTCTCGGCGGTGGCTATGGCTTTCTGCTGCTTCAATTCGGCTTTTAGTTCCGTGATCACACGCATGAGTCCGGCCTGGCTACTCGGCTGGTTGGTGCTAGTCGGGCTGGTTGGTCTGGGTGCCCGGTACCTTTTTGTCGAGTCTGGGCGTACGGCACTGGATGCCCCTCTCTTAATGTCTTTGAGGTACGGGCATCCTAGATACCTCGCACTGTGAGCGCCTGTGCAGTTCGAACAACGTCTGTTGTTGTTCGGCCTCCTGAAGTCCTGGTCGATTTTTGCCAGGGGGCACGTTTTGAAGTCGTTGGCCCCCGAGCAGTACCGACAAATAGGGCCACTGCGACAGGTCGCGGCGGTGTGCCACGCCCTGTTGCAGCGTGAGCACTGCATGATGTCTGTGGTGTGGGCTCCAGGCTGCTGCTTTGGTAGGCGGGTGCTGGTAGGTCCCTGCGCCACGACTGGGGAGGCTTTAGGTGGTGGCTACACGATAGGGGAGGCTTCAGGTGTTGGCTCCTCGATGGGGGCGGCTTCAGTTGCTGGCATAGGTGATGCTGGTTGAGACGCTGCGGGTATGGCCATCCTCTTCTTTGGTGTAGGTGAGGCTGCTTGCGTCTGTTTTTTTCCCATGATGGAAAAAACAATGCTAGTCAATTGCGGTCTATACCGAAAGCTCGATCCCTGCAGAGTCGACAAGGCTTGTTAAGTGCTCTGAAAAGAACACCAAGCGTGTTTTCTCCGCAGTTCACGAGACAATCGTTCACAAATGGATTCTACAACTGGCTCCTCGATATTTCAAATCCTTTTGACAGCCCTGACTCAGGGTTGCCATATTGGCATTTTTGATGCCAGATTCCTCAAATTTGGCATATTTGAAATTTAACTGACATAAGATAATGAACTGGCATATTTTGGCAAATTTTGGTTTTTCCTGGCTTTTCTTATCAAGATGTGCTACATTTTATTCATAGTTCCTCCGTTAGAAACACGCAGATTTACTAAAAGCAATGTAGACTCACAGTTAACATCTTTTTATTTCAGTTTGACTTTTTCGACTTCGATAAACCAAGGCCCTCTATAATTTATGTTAATCTACTAGAATAATTGCGGAATTTAAAACCAAAACCCACCTCTGGTACCAAGTGATTCAGACTGTTCAGAGACTACTTGAGGACAGAAAATAGAGCGGATATATACCTAGTTCTATTTGTTATAGATTTTATAACTTTTACCAATGGCCACGTCATTAAAATTGAAAGCATCTTATGGCATCGCAAGCATAAAAGTAACTGAAAGAAAACATACTCATGGCTCAAAAGATCTTCAGACGGATCTGAAGCAGCATATTGTAAACTGTGTCAGCGCACTGTTGCAACAAGAACTAGTAGCATTATAAATCATGAAAAATCCGAAAAACACAGGATGAAATCTCAGTCAAAAAGCCAGTCAGAGCTTATTAGAACGATGACTCCTAGGCAAAGTAATGATAAAGTTAAAGGCAGCAGAGCTGCAACTTGCTGTAGGCATGACCTGCCATTGTGCAATACGCACAATTGATCATCTAAGTGAAATCATGAGAGCGCATGCTCGGGGGAGTACACTGGAGCACATACAGTTGCATATAACTTAATGTTCATGCCTAATAAAAAATAATATATCGCCTGTACTTATTAAGGATGACCTTTTTGATGATTTTTGGAACAAGAAATATGCCATCATTATAGATGAGTTGCAAAGACTTCATACCATCTGAGAAAGAGATTTTCATAGTAATCTGACAGTGAGGATGAATTGCTTAATTCTAGATTTTACAATGTTACACTTTCTTTGGCAAAAGTACTGGTTTGGCAAAAAAATTAAGTTTTTTTTTTATCTGGCAACCCTGCCCTGACTGAATGATTTTCCTTGTTGGAAAATGGCGGCGACCATGGAGTCTAAGATCGTTGAGGAGCAAAGAGAACAGGAAAAACCCATCGACAGAGAGAAGGTAAGGGGATTCTTTGTGAGGAGAGATGCAAGGATGACAGTGTCTTCCTCTTGCCTTATATTCCTGAGCTTCTTGGTTGAAAATTTGTGATGTTATTTGATCATTTTTTCATCCTGGTTAGATGTCCAAACCATTTCATTGCTTGATGGTCTATGTAGTCTTAAACATGGCGTAGTTTTGAATCTTTATCCTGTCTAGTCTTGGTCTTGTTCGCTGCTTTCTTAGAACATTTTCCATCTTCATGGGTATTGTGATTGTTCCAGAATTCAATCTAGAGCTTTTGATGTGAAGTGCATACAATGTTACACTTTATTCGGCATATTCAGGCATATTTTGGGTACTGGTTTGGCATAAAATGAAGTTTTTTTTTATCTGGCAACCCTGCCCTGACTGAATGATTTCCCTTGTTGGAAATGGCTCCAGCCTGCGACTCCCAACTTCTGTTTTTATTCCGTATTTCGAAATGGGAGACCATGGAGTTAGGTGTCACCATACTTTTTTTCCATGATTCCTCTTTGATTTAAGATCGTTGAGGAGCAAAGAGAACAGGAAAAGCCCATCGACAGAGAGAAGGTAAGGGGATTCTTTGATCGTAGAGGTGTGAGAGAACGAGATACATTTTTTCTACAGGAAGTGAAAAGGTGAGGAATTCGGTGATAATTGTTGTGAGAAAAGCAGAACTAAGATAAAGAGGTGTTTAGTTTGAATTCTCTGCATGGACGGACGAGAGAGAGAGAGAGAGAGAGAGATTTTCGATCCACTGCCGCTTTGCTAGGAGAGAGAGAGAACAGGGACCCCAAACCAGCCAGAAGCTATGGCCTACGGCCACAGTTTCCCGGTCTGCACCATGGGAGGAGAGTTGAAGTTAAGGGTCATCGGCAGGCTACTTTTAATCATGGAAGGGAGAGAAGAGTCCACACCTTGCAGAGAAACATATTTACTGTTTAGTTGGTCTTTGGCGCTTATCAATTTCATCAAAATAGAGAGGATATGTGATCAGAGGAGGAGAGAGAGAAAGAGCAGAAACATAGGCTATTTAATATGGCTTTATTTTCACAAAATAATACTGGACGGAGGGAGAGAAGAGCAGAAACATAGGCTTTCCGGCTCTCCTTTCAATACCTGACGAGGGCTGGACGGCTTAGTTCAGTTTAGTGGAAGTTCTCTCCCTTGGCCGCACTGGAAACAGTGAGCGGAAAAGTCACGAATCAAATGACATACTTAGCTATCATCATACAGTTGCGTGTAGGGTTGCGTAGCCATCATCATACGGTTGCGTGAAGGGTTGCGTAGTCATCATACGGTTGCGTGTAGGGTTACCTATCATCATAGGGTTGCGTAGGGTGTCTATCATCATACTGTTGCGTGTAGGGTAGCGTTGGGTTAGGGTTTTAGGGGTAGGGTTAGATGTGAAAATTGACGCTTGGCGAGGCTACAGCAACGTCGCAAACTTAAGGCATGGTATCTATCTGCACGAGGTAGTAGTCCACCAGACCAACTTCGTCGACGTCGCGCACAGTCACATACACACACAAACAATCGAAGGCCTGTGGATGCTAGTCAAACGGACAATTCGCCAACGATTGGGCACCAGCCGCGCGCTATTGGCGTCATATTTGGCAGAATTTCAGTGGCGCCACTCCCACAAGCATCAGATTGTCGGCCAGTATTTGGAACTCCTACGTCAAAATTTTCACATCTAACCCTAACCCTAACCCCTAACCCAAACCCGCCAACGTTTGGGCACCAGCCGCGCGCTATTTGCGTCATATTTGGCAGAATTTCAGTGGCGCCACTCCCACAAGCATCAGATTGTCGGCCAGTATTTGGAACTGCTACGTCAAAATTTTCACATCTATCCCTAACCCAAACCCTACGCAACCCTACACGCAACAGTATGATGACTATGCAACCCTTCACGCTACCATATGATGACTATGCAACCCTACACGCAACCGTATGATGACAACCCTACACGCAACCGTATGATGATAGGTAAGTATGTCATTTGTTTCGTGGACTTTTCCGCTCACTGTTTCCAGTGCGGCTAAGGGAGAGAACTCCCACTAAACTGAACTAAGCTGTCCAGCCCTCGTCCGGTATTAAAAGGAGAGCCGGCTTTCCTTTGAATAACGTTCCCAAATAATCTACGCAGAAAGTTAACCCTAACAGAGCCTCATTACGTCCTGCCCTACAAACATTTAAAAGCAGTAGCTCGGGAAATATAAGGAACGAAAAGTATGAGGAAAATGGGGGAATTCTACTACTTACCGATATTGAAATCCTTTATACGTGAAAATTGTGGCACAGAAGTTGCAAATAGTGCCCGAATATCTGTTCTTTCAGACTGTTCGCCATTTCAACAGGGCGCGGCTTGTCTGCGATTCTCGTTCCGGGCGAGACATAATCAATAATGTGCGTTTTAATGTACGCGTATGTTGCCTCAGAACAACTTCAAACCAGCAGTCGCCACTATGGCGCTCCACTATCCCGTCCACCCCTTGACCGTGGCGAATGCGACAACGTTGGCAGTTGCGACGGAAGAAGTAACTAATGACTGTTTTTCTGCGACTATAGTGCCACCTCTGAGAGTATCTCCTGCGCCGCTACGCGCAGCGCGGAAGGGGCTAAACTAGATGGTTAGGACCTACGAGCAAATAAAATGGAGGAAGCTGCAGGAGAAGTGGTAGCTGCTGCTTCGTGAGTCCCAGCCATCTAGTTTAGCCCCCAGCTGCTACGCGCGGCGCGGGGGATACTCTCGGAGGTGGCGCTATAGTCGCCGGGAAAAAAGTCAACAATTTACAGGAGCTACTTCTTCTGTCGGAACTACGAGCGCCATCGTGGCGGCTGCTGGTTTGAAGTTGTCTGAAGCGACATGCGCGTTCATTAAACCGCGCATTACAGCTGATCATGTCTCGCCCGGAATGAGAATCGGAGGTGGCACTATAGTCGGCGAAAAGCGGTCCGCAACTTACATATAACTAAGGCCCTGCCCTAGGATAGCGCTATCGGGAGTATTCTCACCTGTCGCTAATTTTTTTCATCCATGGATAATCCTAGTTTTGCCTCTGTGTAATCGCCGTAAAAAAATCTGTTGCATTTCGCGAAAATTTCGTGCGCAATTAATCCTACTTTTGGCACGGTTGAATTGCCGCAAAAGAAATGCGAATTTTAGATATGAGTGAGGCTCTGTTTGGGTTTACTCTCTACGTAGATCATTTGGGACCATTATTCAAAGGAGAGCCGAAACATACTACTGAAGTTATAGAGTTTAGAGTAGTCAGTTATAAATGTATATATATTTTTATATATATATATATATAATCATGGAGGCAGAGAAAAGATGAAACATAATTTACATATCAATTTTCAAAATCATTGGCTATTTTCAGAATAACCGTCCTAAATTATCAAGGCGAAAATATTACCCTAACAGGACCCCAGTCACGTGTCAATTGGGGACTTCCGGCGATTTCAGTTGCGCACTTCCGCCGACAACCGCCACCGCCGAGAGTATCTCCCACGCCGCTACTCGTGGCGTGGATTGGGGCTAAACTAGATGGCTGGGATTCATGAGCAGCAGCTACTGCATCTCCTGCAGCTTCCTTCTTTTTATTTGCTCGTAAGTCCCAGCCATCTAGTTTAGCCCCAATCCACGCCGTGTGTAGCAGCATGGGAGATACTCTAGGCTGTGGTGGAAGTCCGCATTTGACACCTGACTGTTAGGGTAAATTTTCAGCCTCAGTAATTTGGGACCGTTTTTCGGAAGATAGCCGAATCATTTTTCACCTATAAAACCAGTACAGCTAGATACACATTGAAAAATCTCTTTCCAACAGTACCTGATTTATGCCTGTATGTTAATTCTGAGCCGTGTTATTGAAGTTTTTGTTAAAAAAATATCAATAAGGAGTAGAAGAAAAAATAAACGTGAGTTAAAACTTGTCACCAGAAATCCGAAGTCTTTGAGGAGCGTTTAAAACTGTTCTAACTTATTGAGTATTCTAAAAAAAAAAACAACCTAGAAACGGTATATTTTTGTATTGGTGGCAACAAGGCCTAACTGAATAAACATGAATTTTTTAGTTGTTACATAATGTCTACTTATTATTATTCAAAATGGCCAACATTTATCATAATCTTCACATAATAACTCAATTTATATGATAAAAATCTATCGATATCAATTTTTTCTTTTTTGCAACCTGATATAACAATCAAAAGGTCACTTTGTGAAATTATAGACACAGGCTCTTGCTTAAATCAAAATTTATAATGGTCGTTAATTATTAATGACTAATTATTAAAAATCAATTTGTTCTAATAAACTTTAAAACGGTCATAACATTTCTTTCCTAGGGGAGTTTAACAGAACAAGAAAGCCTTGATCATGAAGTTCCAATTTGAATAACCATCAAATTTTTGTTGTTGTTGCGTAAAATCAGTTAATTATTATTCAAAATGGCCATCAGTTATCCAAATCATTAGATAATAAACTCAGTTTTTGATATAATCCTGTCATCATCGCAGTATTTTATTTGTGGTTTAATTGGGGTGTCCCGTGTGCAACCCAAGACGATTCTTATTCCTTCATTGTGATTTCTTTCAAAGTTTGTACGCTGTGAACTAGGTGAGGATATATTCCTAGGCCATAATCAGTTACTGAAAGTACCTACTGGTTGAACATGTGTTCCATGTGTATGGCCACCATCATCTTCAGTGCTGCCAGGCCACAATCTCATTTGATCATAGTCTGCTCCATGTGATATCTGTATGACAGACTGCCATCAAACGTCAGATCCTGTCCATTCACACCACCCCGCCATCTCATGCAAAGCACTTTGCAAATCTCTAGTCATGTTGTGCCTGTCTGACCGACTTTTGATACATTAGGACATCATCTGCAAATTTCAAATTTCGCCCTGGTCTAGCAGGCTGTATTTTTGCAAGACTTGTGTATATGTTGAACAAGACAGGTGACAGTGGTGATCCCTAAGGAAGGCCAGGGCAAACGCGTATTGAATCCAATCTCCATGTTCCCAAACAAAATACCACTTGTTTTTTCCAACAATGCTGCCTCTATCCACTTTGCTAACCAAGGGGTCACACTATAGTCCAAGATATGTGATGTCTATGCTGTTATAAGCATCTTCAAAATCTATCGCTTGTTTCTTGCTGTCGCAGAAATCCTGCATACACATCATATGCGAACGTTCCAGCACTGTCCCATGTCGCAGAAATCCTGCATACACATCATATGCGAACATTCCGGCACTGTCCCATGTCGCAGAAATCCTGCATACACATCATATGCGAACGTTCTGGCACTGTCCCATGTCGCAGAAATCCTGCATACACATCATATGCGAACGTTCTGGCACTGTCCCATGTTGCCTTTGAAGGCCCATGGTGTCAGGTAGCATGCCCATTCTTTCTAAGTGTGACATCACTTTCTTTGAAAAAGTTTTTTACAGCAGCTTGCCATACACATTTTTAAGGCAATTATTCTATAGGTAACAATAGTAGCCCAGCGTCAGCTTACTGGCAGCCTTACTAAGTAACAACAGTAGCCTGACATCAACTTATGGCAGCTTCACTAAGTAACGACAGTAGCCTGACATCAACTTATGGCAGCTTCTCTGAGTAACAACAGTTGCCTGACATCAACTTATGGCAGACTCACTGAGTAACAACAGTAGCCTGACATCAACATATGGCAGACTCACTGAGTAACAACAGTAGCCTGACATCAACCTATGGCAGCTTCACTGAGTAACAACAGTTGCCAGACATCAACTTATGGCAGCTTCACTGAGTAACAACAGTAACCAGACATCAACTTATGGGAGACTCACGAAATAACAACAGTAGCCAGACATCAACTTATGGGAGACTGACTGAGTAACAACAGTAGCCTGACATCAACATATGGCAGCTTCACTGAGTAACAACAGTTGCCAGACATCAACTTATGGCAGCTTCACTGAGTAACAACAGTTGCCAGACATCAACTTATGGCAGCTTCACTGAGTAACAACAGTTGCCAGACATCAACTTATGGCAGCTTCACTGAGTAACAACAGTTGCCAGACATCAACTTATGGCAGCTTCACTGAGTAACAACAGTTGCCAGACATCAACTTATGGCAGCTTCACTGAGTAACAACAGTAACCAGACATCAACTTATGGGAGACTCACGAAATAACAACAGTAGCCAGACATCAACTTATGGCAGACTCACTGAGTAATTACAGTAACCTGGCATCAGCTGATGATGGCAGCCTCACTAAGTAGCAACAATAGCCTGGCATCAAACTTATGGCAGCCTCACTAAGTAACAACAGTAACCTGGCATCAAACTTATGGTAGCCTTATTAAGTAACAATAACCTGGCATCAACTGATTATAGCAGCCTCACGTAGGCTTGTCTGTTTTGTGATCCATCTCCAGATGTCATTTGTTGTGCTATGTGATCCATGTTCACACATTTCTTGTCTCCATACTTTATTCTCGTTTGTATGGACAGTTAATTTTTCTGTGTCCTGTGTGCTGTGTGGAAAGATAACTGATCTTTGTTGTGCTGAAAGATAACTGATCTGTGTCCAGTGAAAGATAACCGATCTGTGTTGTGCTGAAAGATAACTGATCATTGTTGTGCTGAAAGATAACTAATCGTTGATGTGCTGAAAGATTACTGATCGTTGTTGTGCTGAAAGATAACTGATCGTTGTTGTGCTGAAAGATAACTGATCGTTGTTGTGCTGAAAGATATCTGATCTGTGTCCGGTGAAAGATAACTGATCTTTGGCCTGTGTGAAAAGAAAACTAATCTTTGTTGTGTGCTGAAAGATAACTGATCTGTGTCTGGTGTAGAAAGATAACTGATCTGTGTGGTGTGGAAAGATAACCGATCTCTCTTGTGTGCAGACGTGTCCACTGCTGCTGCGGGTCTTCTGTAGCAACGACAGACATCATGCTCTCATGGAGTTCTCTAGAGGACTAACACCCACAAATGAGCTACAGATCTATACTTGGTGAGTACTTTATGTTGTCTATACTTGGTGAGTACCTTATGCTGTCTATACTTGGTGAGTACCTTATGCTGTCTATAATTGGTGAGTACCTCACACGGCTGTCTGTAATTGGTAAGTACCTTACATTTGTCTTTCATCAGTGCTGTTTGGTATTTATACGAGCAATATTGCAGAACTTGAAGCACATGTGGCAGTGGGGAAGGGGCAACAGACAGCTTGAGAGCTACAGACAGGATGGAGACAGGCAACACAGCTCAAGAGCTACAGACAGGATAGAGACAGGCAACAGACAGCTTGAGAGCTACAGACAGGATAGAGACAGGCAACAGACAGCTTGAGAGCTACAGAGAGGATAAAGACAGGCAACAGACAGCTTGAGAGCTACAGACAGGCAACAGACAGCTTGAGAGCTACAGACAGGCAACAGACAGCTTGAGAGCTACAGACAGGCAACAGACAGCTTGAGAGCTTCAGAGAGAATAAAGACAGGCAACAGACAGCTTGAGAGCTTCAGACAGGATAAAGACAGGCAACAGACAGCTTGAGAGCTTCAGACAGGATAAAGACAGGCAACAGACAGCTTGAGAGCTTCAGACAGGATAAAGACAGGCAACAGACAGCTTGAGAGCTTCAGACAGGATAAAGACAGGCAACAGACAGCTTGAGAGCTTCAGACAGGATAAAGACAGGCAACAGACAGCTTGAGAGCTTCAGACAGGATAAAGACAGGCAACAGACAGCTTGAGAGCTACAGACAGAGTGAGAGACAGGCAACATACAGCTCGAGAGCTACAGACAGGATAGAGACAAGCAACATACAGCTCAAGAGCTACAGAGAGGATAAAGACAGGCAACAGACAGCTTGAGAGCTACAGACAGGATAGAGACAGGCAACAGACAGCTTGAGAGCTACAGACAGAGTGAGAGACAGGCAACATACAGCTCAAGAGCTACAGACAGGATAGAGACAAGCAACATACAGCTCAAGAGCTACAGACAGGAGAGAGACAGGCAACAGACAGCTCAAGAGCTACAGACAGCTCAAGAGCTACAGACAACAGTGAACAAAGTGACTGTAGTATGAGAGATGGGTACTATTAGCAGTCCCGAAAATCTTGTATATTGTTGTGTACTTTTTGAGTGGCATGTTATAGAGGTGGTGATATTTGTAGAGTGATGTATGTTTGCAGTGACGTATTTGTTGTGAGTTTTCATTGAGTGAAGTATTATAGTGTTGATATTTGTTGAGTGATATGTTATAGTGGTGATATTTGTTGAGAAATGTGTTGTAGTGGTGATATCTGAGCTTCCTATAAACTGTTTGTCTCAATATTGACACACATCATCTATTGTTGACAGGATGGATGCCACACTGAAAGAGCTGACGGGACTTGTGAAAGAAGTCAATCCAGACGCCAGGAGAAAGGGGACATTTTTTGACTTTGCTATTGTTTTCCCTGACAACCGCTCACCCACGTTTCGCATGCGAGAGATTGGAACCACCTGTGCTGGTAGGAAATCCCCTGATGACACGGTGACACTGGCACAGAAGAACTTCATCATCGGCGATTACCTGGATATAGCCATCTGTCCACCTAGACCTGGGGGGATGCCTCCCTTGGAGAGGGGTCGACGCTGATCACTTCTGTCTACGAATGTTATATGTTTGAATCTTGTGCGTTTGAATGTGAACAAAATAGTCTAGGTTTTACAGTTATAATAAAAGCTGTCACAGATAGCAAAGCTTTGCTTGTTTGAATATTCAGTTGTCTTTCAATTGTGTCAGTAATTGAGTGTGTACGACAGCCTACTCACCAACAGCATTTTATCAGTTTCAGCTGTTCAAGTGCTGTCTAGAGACTGTTCTGTTATATAGATGACCGTACTGTTGTGTAAAGAGACTTTGTACTGTGGTATAGATGACTGTACTGTGTTTATGACTACTGTTGTGTAGAGTGGCTGTACTCTTGTGTAGAGAAACTTTGTTCTGTTGTGTAGACTTACAGTTGTGTAGAGACTGTACTGTTGTGTAGAGAAGATACTGTTGTGTAGAGAGACTTTGTAGTGTTGTGTAGAGACTGTACTGTTGTGTAGAGACTGTGCTGTTGTGTAGAGACTGTACTATTGTGTAGAGAAGATACTGTTGTGTAGAGAGACTTTGTACTGTTGTGTAGAGAGACTTATAGTTGGGTAGAGACTGTACTGTTGTGTAGAGAGACTTATAGTTGGGTAGAGACTGGACTGTTGTGTAGAGAGGCTTATAGCATTCTTGTTTTAGTTGTTCCTATATGTTCAGCTTGGGTTCATATGGCCAGGTCATCTGTATGTAGGGCCTTGTGAATGTACCGTGAATTGTTTAGGGACGTCATTGGTGAAAAGAATAAACCTGGTAGGAGATTTAGTACCTCCCTAAGGAACACCTTTTTATCTGACCAGCTTGCTCTTGTGTTCTCTCTGTGTACATTATATGCATGTGTGTGTGTATGTAAACGTAGCTGTGTAAGTATGTACATGTGTGTTTATGTATGTATGTATATGTAGCTTTTTAAGTATGTGGGTGTATATCTGGTAATCCTAGTTTCAGCTTCATAGCAAACGGGTCACCCCATAGTTGCTCTGCTCCTGTGCCAATGAAAAATACACATAGCTCACAGTGTCACGCCATGCACTCTACTCAGAAGCTAAGCGACGAAACTATATCCTTCCAGTCTAAAAATGGAGCAAAAATGCAACTGCCACCGTCTGGCAGGGAAAAAAAGGTGGCCGTGCCTAGCGTCCATTTTGACCTGAATCATTATATAAGGGTTAATTAATGGTCCCCCCCCAGCAGTACCCTCATTATTAGCTGGGGAAGGGACTTAAGACATTACATCCACCAGCAGGCGTCGCCCCTACAACGACCTGCCTGCCTTCGTTAACAACTGTTCACCCAACAGCCATGCTGTTCTTTGGCACGAAGGGGACACCTTGAACTTGGGTTTCGGACTGCCGACTCCCTACAAGATGTTATTTTATGTTTTGTTACCACAATTAATGTCACTGCACATTGGGTATACCCATGCGTGCTCAGTTCTCTGAAGCAGCAGCCACTCCAAAGTATTTCTACTAATTGTCCCCATGAGAAGCTGGATATATTGTCTCATTTCTCGGCCCCGAAGACGGCAAAGACATGCATCACCATGCTTAACTCCATGTCACGCAATCGTGCCAGTGTCAGGGATTCCTGATTATCCACTAGCCCAGCCAGTACAGCGTTGACGATATCTGCTCTGTCCATGCTTTTCCCCCGCAATCATTAGTGCAGTCTTGCCGGTTGGTCTGCTCGCTCATTTCCCTTTACACCCACATGACCCGGTGTAAAGATCCAGATTACGGAGGTTAAGTGCGATTTCCGAATGCTTTCTATCCATTTAGAGTGCATACTGCCTGTTGCTATCTTCTGAAGCATATTCAATGAGTCTGAGACAATTACTACCTGTGTGACGGTTTGCTGGGATACCCACACTAAAGCTCTAGAAGCAGCGGCTATTTCCATTGTCGTGCTTGACGTGGTTGTCTAGTAAGCGCTGCTGTCTTCATGTATTGTTTCCCCCTTCTTTGCGCTGTGTATGCCCATGCTGACCTTGATCCGCGCTTCACGGATCCATCTGTGTAGATGATGATATCTTCTGGGTCTGAATGCTGATCTATCAGTTCCCTTACTTCTGTGTCTACGGCCGCAGGAATTTGATCCCTGCAGTACCTTCCGAGTGTGATGACAACCTTAGAGATGCCATGCATGTCTACTGGTGTATTCGTCCATTCTTTTCCGTGACAGATCGTGTCTAGATCACATACCTGCTGGATTAAATCCTCAGCCTTTGCCATCCAAGAGAAGTGTTCCTTTTGTGTTGTGTATATCTATGTGCAATGGGTGGTTAACGTCTGCCGATACCCTTATGTAAGCCCTGACCTGTGCCACATTGTATCTGCTAGTTATCGTCGGCAAACCCAGGACATAACGCATGGCGTTGCAGGAGGTGTCTTTTGTGCAGCCGAGTATGAGTCTCATGGCCTTATTCTGTACTCGGTCCAGTCTTTCTAGCTGAGTTTTGATGACAGTGAGGAGGGCAAGAACATAGTCAATGACGCTAAGCATAAGCCCTTGACAGAGAAGGAAAAGTAGGCGTTCAATATCAGCTGCTGCTAGCACCTTGAGTGCTGTCAAACCTTTCCTGGCTCTACGTATGACGTTGTCTATGTGGAATTTGTATGATAAGCATCTGTCAAATGTCATGCCCAGGTATTTCATGGTGTCCGTTCTCTCGATGTCCACACCACAGATGCTTACGACTGGCGTTGGTGTACTAACGATGTGGGTATTCAGAGAGAACCATGTTAAGGAGGCTTTGGACGGGTTCACCTGAGCTCTTGTTTCCTAGCATCACACATGTGCTTGTATATGTTTTGCGTACTTATGTATGATTGTGCGTAAGTATGTGGGTCTGTATTATGGATGTTGTATATATGTATATCTGTATCTATTCGTGTGTATGTATGTGAGTATTATGTGGGTGTGTGTGTATGCATGTGGATATATGTATGTATTTTTAGGTTTGAAAGCATGTGTTTATATATGTATGTGTGGTTGTATATGAGTGTGTGTTATGTATGCAAGTATCTATGTATGTATGCAGGTATGTATGTGGGTGTCTGTATGTGTGATTGTATATGTGTGTATGCATGCATGTGTGTGTTTGTATGTAATGTGTGTATGCATGCATGTATGTATATATATCTGTGTGTATTTATGCATGTTGGTGGATGTATGTATGCACATGTAGCTGTATAAGTATGTGGTAAATGTGTGTATTTAAGTATGTATGTATGTTTGTAAGTATGTGAGTGTATGGATGCATGTATGTTTGTGTGCATGTATATCTATGTATGTAGGTGTGTGTGTGTTTTATGTTTGTGTGTTTATATTATGTATGTATGTAGGTGTAGCCTATTTATGTATGTGGGTGTGTATGTATGTAGGTGCATGTATGTATGTATTACATATATTTGTATATGAGTGTGTATGTAAATGTAGTGTGTAAATATGTGGGTGTATGTGCGTGTGATTGATTTATTTATGTATATGTAGGTATATGTAGCTGTGCATCTGTGTGTGTGTGTGTATTTGTAAATGTATGCATGTGTGTAAGAATGTGGGTTTGTATTATGGATGTGTATGTATGTATATATGTGTGTGTATGAATGTATGTATGTATTTTGTGGGTGTGTATGTTTTTTTGTGGATATATGTATTTATATTTACATTTGTAAGTATGTGTGTGTATTTATGTATGTATGTTTTAAGTATTTATGTATGTGTGTAAGTATGTGAGTGTATGTATGTATGTGTGCATGTATATCTATGTATGTAGGTATGTGTGTGTTTTATGTTTGTGTGTTTAATATTTGGCTCTCCATTAAACTACGGCTGGTTAGTCGGAGTTCAGTCCCTTGGCTGCAGTGCAATTACGGAGTGGAAAAGAGGGAACAAAACAAATGACATAATTACTGTGTGTTGGCGATAGACAGCGTGCAGTGCCCTGCTGTCATCATACGGCTAGGGGTTTGGTTAGGGTTAAGGTTTGGGTTCCTTGTAACTCTATGCTCAGCTAGCCACTGCAACAGGCAAGCTTATCGCTCATTAAGGCATACAGATCCGCAGGTGTCACATCTACGGCCACTAAGTCTTGCGTCACAATTTGAGTCGCAGCGCGTGGTCTAGCAGCCATGTCGAGCTCACTTTGTGTTGTGATTCGTGCCTTTTCCACTCCGTAATTGCACTGTAGCCAGGGGACTGAACTCCGTCTAACCGGCCGTAGTTTAAAGGAGAACCTAATAGTTTAAATTATGTATGCATGTAGGTGTAGCCTATGTATGTATGTGGGTGTGTATGTATGTAGGTGCATGTATGTATGTATTACATATATCTGTATTTAAATGTGTATGTAAATGTAGTGTGTAAATATGTGGGTGAGTGTGCATGTGTATTTATTTATTTATGTAGATGTATGTAGGTATATGTAGCTGTGTATCTGTGTGTGTGTGTGTGTATTTATAAATGTATGCATGTGTGTAAGTATGTGGGTTTGTATTATGGATGTGTATGTATATATGTGTGTGTATGTATGTATGTTTTAAGTATGTGGGTGTATGTGTGATTGTATATGAGTATCTGTGTGATTGTAGGTGTGCGTGTGTGTGTGTATATTATGTATGCATGTAAGTGTGTGTATGTATGTAAACATGTAAGTGTGTATGCATATGTTTGTAGTTGTATATGGGTATCTGTATATGTGATTGTATGTATGTTTATGTATGGAATGTGTATGTGCATGTAAGTTTAAGTATGTGTGTTTTATGCTTGTGTATGTATGTAGGTGCATGTATGTATGTATGTAATACGTATGTCTGTATATGAGTGTGTATGTGTATGTATGAGAATGTAAGAGTATGTGTGTGTTAGTTTGAGTGTGTTAGATTGTGTATACATGATGTGTCTATGCATTATTCTAGATATTTATATATATATATATATATATATATATATATATATATATATATATATATATGATATATATATATATATATATATATATATAT